TAGAATTTTCAAAATACCATTATCAATCATATTTTATTTCCACTCTAATTGGGCACTATAGACTTTCGTCATGTCAAACAACTACAATTCCACAAGAACATTAATTTCGTCTTAATCTTTTGTTCTTATCTACCACAAATTTTTATTCAACTACAATTACTTTTTATCCCCAATCATTTTCAATATAAATTCGACCTATTCTCAAACTATCCTCACTTCCTAGGTTTGATAATTGTAAGGGGTTTCTTCAAATGGAAATTTTCTAGACACAGTAATTAGATGGCTGAGAGGGAGAGAATTGTTATAGGGATATCTTATTTTTTTAGGTAAGTACACTTTTTTTTTTAATTTGATACTGTTAGTTTTGTTATAATAAATTTAATTAAAGAAAAATAATTTCCAATCTAATTAGTTAAAACTATTTGTACATTATATATTAAATTATAAATAATATATATTCATTTACATACAAGTTTTACATATTATATTTATATAAAATATTGACTATTCATCTTTTTACTTTTAATTATTTAAATTTATTCACATTTATTAAATATAATTGTTTTTTATCTAAAAAGTGATAAATTCCAACCATAAGAAGTGAAAAAATAAATGATTAAGGTTTTATATAAATATAATATGTAAAGTTTGTGTATAAATAGATCTCTTCTCAATTATTAATTCATTTAATTTTAGTTAATATTATACCTAATTGAATAATTTTATAATGGATAACTTTTTTTGAATATAATTACCAAATATTAAAATACTTGTTGTGGCAGCATAGAATAGCACTACTAACAACTACAGTTGCAAATCAGAGTAGCACAATATTGTCAAACTAAGTCTTAAGTTTCGTTTGGAAGTGCTTTACATGGTACTTTTTCCTAAAGTATTGTATAATGTAAATTTATTATAGATAATTACTTTAATTAATAATATGTATTTTTTAAATAGGAAAAGACAAAAGAACTACAATCATAACACAACACTCTCAAATGAAGGCTTAATCACCCATAAAAGTTTAGTTAAGTTGGT